ATCCTCTGGAGCCGAACATGGTAAAAGTGAAATGCATACACTTGCCATCGAAACAATTTTTTAATAAATACTTAATTATCAGTGGATTTTCGAATTAGACGAAATATTTCAAAGTTCAAATCAAGAACTCTAACCTATTTCATTAACTGGTCGTACAGCATTTTTGACACGAAGGATCTCCAAATACAAATAAAATTCTATACAGTATGACGAGATATAGCTGGATAACAAATTAACAATGTAGATTATTCTGGAAATAAATATTATTTTCTCAACATTTATTATTTAATATTAATAACTTATTCATTAAAAATATTTTTCTATTTGCACTTTTCTAGTGACATTAATAATGGACGTAACGTGATTTTTAATTTATTTATTTGATATACATTTATAAATATAGATAGTAGAAAATTATAAATCTTCACACTTAGTGTTGCCTCCACTGACAAGAACGACTCAGCGGCAACAATAATTAACATTTTATTCTACATGAACTAAATGAACTGAAATTATTTCTAAATAATATATATATATATATATACTAATATATATATATATATATATATATATATATATATATAAAAGGTAGACATTTAGGTCAATACTCAGCGGCAGTGACAGTCATTTTCATACTGAAACACAATCGTCAGGCCATGATGATTTCGTTTAAACCGCCGCTGAGTGTTAAACTCAATGTCAACTTTTATATTTACATACGCATTTTACCTGATATTGAGTACTTTACCCCATAAATATAGTATACCTTAAAACTATATTTTTCTCATATATATGTGTGTGTGTGTGTGCGTGCGTGTGAGTGTGTGTGTGAGTGTGTGTGTGTGTGAGTGTGTGTGTATGTGTGTGTGGGCGCACGCGCGCAGTAAAGCTCCTTTAATTCATGATTAAAAAAGAAAATTTTATAAATCTATTATTAGGAAATGAAAAACACTGATATAAAATTCACTGTTTCCTTTAACTTTTATCAGATTCGATATTTATGTAATTGTCCTCCATTTGCACACTTGAAAATTGTGTTCCCATTGAAGACACCAATCACCAATATTAGAACCGACAACTAAAATATGTAAATATCAAATTCTGACCAAATGACTAATGACTAAACGTTCTCTTGGTCGGATCTAGACATTTTAAGCACCTCATCATAGACTATGAAACATTTTTCTGTGACGTGAGATAGAGTATACTCTTTCTGTTCCTAAGCTCGCTATTTAATTTAATAGTTTTCATAAATTTTTGATGCAGTAGATAGACGAGCATAAACGATTTGGAATTATATCAATTAGATTAACTCTTCACACTTTAAATATAATATTTGATATCTGTCTACTTCCTGTACAAGGAAATGACGGATTAAGCATTTAAGTAGATTAATACATTTAATCGGGATAATTGCAGCGAAACATTATATCATCGATCAATGCACAAAAATGTTCTAAATATTTTTTTAGTTGACTATATGCCAAAATATTTAAGGTAAATAAGAAATTACGAAATGTTAGATTTATTTTATATTTACGTTATAACGATAGAATTTCTGAGAATATTCTTATATATTTCAAGAAAAATATCACAAAACAGAATAATGATATTTTGTAAAACAGGAAATAACTGCGTCGATCACTGAATTTCACATTGTTTGAAGTGGCATATGACAGGATTTCCTTACATAACAAAAGTAATATAATGAAAACAGGATGTAAAGTGATATATATCGTAGGACAGAAAATTTGAAGGAAAAAAATAATGACTGGTTGTTTGCTTGATTTGCGACATGTCAACCTATGCGCGTTATTTAATGCCAAAATCTAAATATTTTGGACACAATTATATGGCTTCAACTAAATATATTTAGAACGCAATTGTATGCCTTCAACTACAAATAAAACGTAATGTTGGACATTTTGTTATAAAATGTATTGCTGGTTAGCTTGCCTTAAAATATATTGTTGATAATTTTACTATAAATAGGTATTGGCCTTTATGTTTTATATAAAATATATTGCTGGTAATTTTACTATAAAACTCTATTTTGATATATTCATAAGGTTTTGTCTTTGTTCGCGGGTTGATTATTTTCCCATAGCTGGAACCCTAACAGGTGCTACCAACCCTGATCATAGTGAACCTGAGAACAACAGCAATTAAAAGGTGGTTCCATGCTCCACAAAACCTCCGAACTCCCAGTAAGAGGGATTGCTGCTGGATGTAGTTTATCGTCATAACCAGGACTAAAAACTACTGAAACAATCTTGTTAATATTTTAAAAGATACTTCATTTGAATCACAAAAAGTCGAGGTGTGAATGAAGACACCGATTCGCTGGGCTAATGAATGAGACAGATATTTGTACCGGAGTACCTCCAGACAAGTTCCAAATGTTGCTTCCTTGTGACGCAGACGGAACTGATAATTCGTTGACAAGCAGCAGACGAAATTCGTGTTATACGCTTGACAAGAAACGAGCGAAAGGAATATGCAGAAATGTGTTAGGTTTTGAGTAAAGATTGGTAAGAGTGCAAGTAACACATCAGGCCAAATAAAATAATATGTTGTGCTGAATATACTATGAAGAAGTATTTCATTTCTGAGATGGTTAAATATCAATATCTTGCATTATTTCGAAATATTTTTTGAATCTTGGTTTATATAGATGTTGTTACAGATACATCGTTTCGACCAAGTAACCTTTGGTCATCATCAGGTGTTCATTGATAGGCTACTGCTTTTTAATCGTCTGATAGGACACTTTTTTCTTCCATCAACACAGCTGATTCTAACCTGCATGGCTGATTTCGTCTTCTCGGACTAACGTTTTCAGTTGATATGAAGTAGAAAGAGTATACTGAATAAATACATGCCAGAATCTGTCTTCCACATTTATAAGTCTACCACTCTTTCATCCTTTGAATATCTGGTCAGGTGTTCCTGCTATATATTTAAAGATTCTTGATCAAATAAAATTAAGAATTATTCGGTTTGTGTGAAAAATATTCAGGACGTGTGTTTCGACAAATTTGTACTTAAACACACACGCGCACACAAACAAACACACACATACATCTATTATTTTTATTCGGTCGAGATATCTCGGATATTAATGAGTCTATCACAACAAGCATAACGGTCCTGCATCAAGGTTGAAAGGTCATTATGGTCGCATTATATGTCGTAACATTTCTGATCAAAATAAGTGATTGCTGAGCGACCAACTCCTGCGCCATGACTAGCTGTAGATCACTCACGAGATTTTTTTTCCTCACCAGCAGTATCTGTTTCGCGTAAGATTCTAGAAATATCAAGGACTGGTCCATATAGTAGTGATTTAGGTGGAGGTTGTCTCCAAGAGTTGTTAAGTATAGTTCTCAGAATCCTCTAAAGGGGATCGTAATAATATGTGCTTTGGGTTAACTGCTAGAACAGATTTTCCGAATACATAAATTTTAGACCAGGCTTTATTTCTGAGAAATTTCACACCCATTTCAGTAGAATTTATTTTGCTTTCTAGGTAGGTAGAAGATTCAACAGATTTTATTGAGTCACCTGCGACAGGAGGAGTTAAACATAATTGGCAGTATTTCCTAGATGATGTAGGAAAACTGTGACATTTGTAATGATGTCAGCACTGATAGCTAGGACATCTGCATAGTCAATACATTTTTTGTTGGCAGCAGCGATTTTTATTAATGTATTCAGTTTGTTAATCTTCATGACTTATTGAGTTGAGCAAACGATTCATTCATGTCTTGAATAGATTTAAGCGATGGATTTGAATTACTTATGGCGGCTTTTCCTTTCACATTAACCCTTTTTGCTACCCGTTGAGTGAGCTGCTGATGGTATGTTTTAACGGTATGAAGTCTGCAGCAGCCTTTGCGTGGAAGTAACAAAATTATTGTCGGTTGTATTAGGAGATGATTCCTAGGAATCTACTTGTAGTGTTAGAAACCTATCCCTGACAGCAATTGTGTACTAATATGCACTGATTTTTAGATTAATGTTCATTGTTAGAAAAAACCAGCCATATTGTAGAAAGGCAGATTGCTTTTTCTTATCAGTTCTAATCTAGGGAACTGAAGACATTCCTTCAAATGTGCTGAAGGCTGTTCTCCCACTTCCTGTTTATCAGGATGTGATCCAGTTGGGTCTTTGTAACATTACCATGGGTGAATGTTCATTAATTTGAGCTCTTTTGAAATTTGTTGGTTAATGCATGTAATATCATTTTCCTGTATAAATATTATATATATATATATATATATATATATATATATATATATATATATATATATATATATATATATATATATATATATATATATATATATATATATATATATCATAAAAAGTACAGTTTTAAGGTAAAAAGATGAAAAATGATAAAAATATACTTTTAAGATTTTATGGGTGAAAGTGTTCAATATTTCACTCTTATATATATGAGAATCTACTGAAAAGTCTTCGGGCCAAGTGTTGATAAATTGATCGAGATAAAATCTTGTAAGCATGACAGATATGTGATATTTGTAAACAAGCGTTCCCCATGTAAGGGAGATAACCAGAGATGGTAAATTGCAAAATGGAATTGCATTTTAAAACATTGCTACTATACATATAATAATTTTTGTTCAGTGTTTGCAAAATCGACATCACAACGATTGCAGTCAAATAAAGTTTGTCTCCACATTTCACCGCTGAATATGATATCGGAGGAGATCGAATTTACTTCGGTTAACAAAACATCCGTCGCCTTCCATGAGGAATTTCACCTTAGCTTCACGAAGATAATTAGAGAACTGGAAAGGATTATTAGAAAAATAAATATACTTAATATATATATATATATATATATATATATATATATATATATATATATATATATATATATATACACTTTCACCCATAAATAAAGCTTACCTTAAAACTATATTTTTATCATATATATATATATATATAGGTAGATACATAGATAGATTAACAGAATAAGATAGATAGATAGATAGATAGATAGATAGATAGATAGATAGATAGATGATACGTAAAAGAGAAATGACTAAACGCCAGCTGCTTTGGCTAGCTACAGCGAGAGGCTCCTCACCGAGGATGTTGGCTGATGTTCCGCTACTGTGCGTGCCGGTGATGACATCGCCCTTCTAACCACAATCACTAGGCTTTCTGCTCTACCCGCCACCACCTTACTCCTTACCCACTCACACCAATTAATCAAATCTTTTCGCCGCAGATGCTAACAAAAATGAACATGTCACCTTCGAAGTAGGTTGGATTTTAGTTTTTACGAAGTGTCATTTTTTTTATTACACTCAAGAAAGAGAGACGTGAAAAGTGGAAAAGTACTTTAGTATCTCCATCTGTTTATCTATCAGTTTGTCTATTTTAGCCTCATCATATCTGAGTGCCTGTTTGTCTCAAACTTATCTCCTCTCTTCTTCACACATTTCTCATATATATATATATATATATATATATATATATATATATATATATATATATATATATATAGATACAGATCTAAAAATAGATATGATTAAAATAAAGGAGACAGTTAAACATTTTTAGATAGACAAACATACGAGCATATATGAACATAGAGAATTGATAGTTAGATAGATATACAGATATATAATTGGATATGAACATAGGAAATAGATAGATAGACAGTGAGACAGACAGACAAATAGATACGAACACAGAAGCAAAAAAGAGAGAGAGAGAAGTAGGTGAAGTAATGGGTTTAAATCTGATCCTGTCGATCTGCTCATCTTTCAGACTGGAACTGTACAACTAGTTTTCTGTCGGTCTTGATCTTTTAGAAGAAGTGTTTTCCCCCTCATCCTACAAAATTGGTAATACCTTCCTTTTCCAAAACTCGTCATATAAATACTTACTTCCAGTTGCGTTGGAAAAACGAACTCTGTCGACAAAGAAAGACATCAGATCTTAGACTGGTTATACATTTCTTTCTTCTTATCTATCTCTTAAATAATATGATATATGTTTTTACATGTGTATAGAGAGGTTATATTGTATCATTTTATTAATGGTTTTCGTATTGAACATACACAGCCTAAATATGCCTTCATTTGTTATATAGTGACTCTAGTCGTAATGTTAATGGTCAGATCAGCCGTTACTTTTAAAGAAGCAATCTACATTGGTTGAAAAGTAAAGGTTATTGCCGGTTGAAATTCATAAGATATTTTTCTAAAACATTCTCCAAGGAAATCGGACGCCTGTTATCGCTTTTTCTAGTATTATTGGGAGTTTCTTTCCAATTGTTTTATTTTGGTTGCGTGGAAATTGAATATCTTTTCTAGTTAAATATGATCCTTATTTATGCCGGGAAAGGAAAACTAAACCTCCCCAACTCAACACTACAGATTAAGCGCCGAGATAACTCAGCATCGAGACAAATCGGTACCAGAAAAACAACATTTTTTTCATAACCGAATAAAAGTAATTTATTAAGGATTCGCTAATTAAATTCTAAATTACACAAATATAAAAATAACAATGGCATCTCATTTTAACATATATATTTACTAAAATTACATACAATATCTTAAAATACTAAAGAGTAAATGCATTCCATAAAATCGCTATTGGCTTCAGTTTCAGTCTCCAACCGACTTCAGAATCTTCTACAACTCTTCTAGACGGTCTCCTTGTTTAAGTTGGTGAATGCTACCATAATCAGTTTATCTTTCGTGTTACATGGAGTTTTGTTGATCAAACATAATAATCAAAGGGGTGGCAGTCTGGGGAGTTAGGTGGTCAGATATAAATGTTGATGGGGTCGCAGATACTATCTGACAGCCATGTTTGGGTTCTCTTTCTGGTGTGGCATAGTGCAGAATTCTGTTGCCAGACATAAGGTCTTCCATCAGCCTCCCTCTTGTTCCAGGCTAGCATTACCTCCTCAAGGCAATTGAAATAGGCCTGCTTACTGAATCTGAGGCCCTAATTAGAGGCATAACGTTACCGTCACTAGTGATCACTTCAAACACCTTCGTAATTAGCATTAGACTCATCCAACTCTTTCCGAATCCTCTGCACTCTCCTCAGATTGACACCCAGTCACCCTGGAATGTTCTAAGCTACATGCTTTTTCCATATTTTTGTCGGAGAGAATTGCGTCATGGTGCTCTTTTTCTTACAGGCAGTGCTCAACTGAACCTATTATGCTGTACAGTTAACAAAATAAAAAAAATAAAAAACGCGCATGTGCGAAATTAAAAATATAACGTGACAATGGACACATCGCACTCTGTATGTATAGAAGGAGAGATTGTGTGTGAGAGAGAGGGGAAGAGAGGGAGAGAAAATATATAAATTTGAAATATATGAACACAAAATTAAATAAGTTATGCAAATATCGAGATCCCAAATGCACACACGCATAACCACACACATACGATAAAGGCTATATTTACCGGATACACTTTGCTTCAATCACTAATTTGTTTTTACGGTTTTTTTTTTATCAAGTAAATTAAAATATGTACCACCCGAGAGGAGGAATCAGACCTGTATTTAATACTTTGTCTGGGAAACGACCCTGACAACAATAATCTACCTGGAGCCCCCCACCCTCCCAGTACAAACATGCATTATATATATATATATATATATATATATATATATATATATATATGAATAGGAATATGAACCTATATTCGTTTTGATCATGGACGTCTGTCACCCAATGAAATATTAATCGCTGACGTAAGGTCGAAGCTATTTATTTTTTTAAATCGTAAAGCCTTTCCCGATCTGCTGTTGTTTTTGTGGTCCATATATCTTTTGCAATGTCCGTGGAACTAAAGAGGGAGCATTATTTTCGGATTTTACAATTATTTTTGGAGCGTACTATATTTCATTGGTTGACAGCTGTCCATTTTCGAGCAGAACCCTGATGAAATGCCTTAAAAACTGGGCCACACATCTATCATTGTTTAGCTGCTTTCTGGAAATGTTCAGCAAGTGTCGAGAAAAACCAGTAAATGAATTTTTTTCCATATGGAGTAATGATACCTTTGTTTTGTACGCCATTTTGCTAGATTGTTTCTGTAGCAAAACAAAAATAATTATGAGATATGAACAGGGAATATTCATTCGCTACTGGTATTGTAGGGAAATAAATAAATAAAAATAAAACAACTGTTACACATGACGTCATTGCAGACAAATTTAAACAAACTGAGAAATACCAGAAGGACACCAACAGAATCCTGCCTTTCACACGAGCACTATATTGTACTTGAAAATAAATTAAACGGTCGACAGATCTGGAATAAAACAAAATAAAAAACGTAGACAATGCACAGATTATCCACAATTTCATATACATATTATTCCAAAATTCCAAATAAATCTATATGAGATAATAATATACATATATATGTGGGATAATGATAATTTTAGGGAGAAAAAAATGTATAACACAAACAGAATAACGATATAATATTTTGGCCCGTTTTTCAGTTTTACTTTTTATCTATTATCATTATGAGTGGTAATAAAGATAATTTTATAAAGTATTGTTCCACAAAACATATCTTTAAATATATCTTATATCTTTATATATATATATATATATATATATATATATATATATATATATATATATATATATATATATATATATATATATATATACATACACTTTGTGGATATATACACTGAATGGTGTCTTTCAATTGTTATGCCCACCAAACCTAACCAAAGTAGTAATGTTTTACCCCAGATATTACCAAATATTTTCGTTGATTTTCAGCCGTTCTATTTTTTAGCTTTTCTATCATTTCTCCAGGGATAACTGAGAGGCGTGCATTTAACACGTGATGTAAATCATTTTAGTAGAATTTACTTGATATTTTCGATAACATAGAATTTTAAATAATCAAAATTCCTTTAAAGTTCATTTCAGGGCACTATTTCTTGTCAGATCCTGACATTATATCCACTTTTCTGTTTCTTTGTGGGTGGAGCGATGTGCATGGACAAAAACACACGCATTTATCATGACAGTCACTTAAACACACACACACACACACGCACACACACACGCACGCACACACACACGCACACACACACACACATACACACATGCGCGCGCGCCAAGGCTGAAGAAGGTGTCATGATGCCAGTCACTGTATGAAGAAATATAATCATTTTGGCAGTTCCGACAGTTACATAGATTTTCAGTTTTTATCAGATATTCTATCAGCGGAAAACGAACTAAGTACGAATTATAACATGATCGTAGATATGATGAACGGAAAAATTATAACAAATACTTATATGCTTTCGCTAAGTTTGACATAAGGTCATATTAGTAAGGTACACCTTATTAATTACTAACATAATATCATTACTTTATGTGACTAGCTTTCTTCCTAATGTTGTTTGACTGACGACTAAATTGAAATATTAACATGTCAAAGACGATCCTTATATATAACGTGTATATACCCTCGGACCGGAAAAACGAAACCTGCAAAGTAAACTGCTGATATACTTTTAAACTCTTTTCTTCCAAAATTGATAAAATTAAATCCCATTTTTTGATAAGGGGTAACTCTAAAAAAGAACTTTTGAATTTGAAACTCTTGTCTAATTCTAAGGCTAAAGAATTCTCTCTGAAAAACCGAAAGTTTTCTTGCGTTCGTACGAAAAATCATTCTTATTTGGCGAAAACCGTAACACGCCAAGATCCCTCAGGATTCTGCAACGCATGCAGCAAAATATAATAAGAAGCCGGTCTATCATTGTGACCCGAAACTTTCTTCAGGAATCATAACATTTATGGCGAAGAAAGGAAACGAACGAGCAAGAAAATAAAAAAATCTCTGAGCGAGGTGGTTGGCGAATTCTAAAAGATGCTAGACATAATCCATCAAACATTTTTAGGAAAACCACACAAGCAATGAACAATATGCAGGAAGTTATCGAAATCTTTGATTGATATCAGGACCAATAATACTGATCTGGCATCAATATGGGTGTAGCTAAAATATCGGTTACATAACACAATAAATAAACCAGATATCAGTGAGCAACGAGGTTCCTCAAGTGCAATCTAATCCGCAAACTCAGATCGGACTGATGAAAAGCGTTTTAATCTTTACGGGCTTGGATGCTCGAGCATTTCTGGGTAGGATCTATCGATGAGAAATGATTTGTTTATATGTGTGATTGTAAAGGAGATTTGTTTTGGCTTTACTGGCTGGGTCCTACCCTGACAAGGATTTGTTAATTGAAGAGAAGCTAGAACACAACATGATCCAAAGTTACCAATAAAGAATTTTGAAAGGAAGATGCCGATCTTTCCGAAAAATATTCCGATTTGCCATTCTGCAAAAACAACTGATTGTTTTTTTGTTTTTTTGCCTACGTGATTCGTAATGAAGTGGCCTGCGTTGTCACCAGACTTCAATCCTATAGAAATATCTGAAGAAAGATGGCAATCGATGCGTACAAAATCAACATACAACACTCCATTCTTGTAGAGCAAAAACAGTCAATCTTTGTTTTATGAGAGACTAGCCACTTTCTATTTTCTCTAAACTTGGTTGATTTGGTTGCTTTTTTAGCGGCATATCACCTTCTTTGCGTTATTTAATAACGAAATCTTAATATTTTGTACGTAATTTTGTGCTTTCTACTACAGATATTTTGTATGTTATATCCATTTTAACTGTTGCTGCTGTTGAAAGTCCTCAAGTGATGTGAATTCTATTATTTGTTATAGTTCTTTATGATCGATAGCGAAGTCAGAAAAAGTTCGGAGATGGAAAGCATTCGCTAAGACCTACAGGCTTCACTCGATCAATACCATTTTTAGAAATTGATAATAGAAAGTGATTGTATACAGCTAGCAGTTTAAATATTTAAGAAAGTTTTGGCGCCTTTTTGGGCGTAAAGTGAAAAGA